ATATGAATGAATCTCAAAATCATTATTTTGAATGAATGAACCCAGACAAAAGAGAGTACATATGCTGCCATCCCATTTGCATAAAATTTAGAAAATGTAAAATTATCTATATGACAGAAAATAGGTAAGTGATTAACTAGAGATAGGGTGGGGAGGTTGAGGAGGGAGGGATTACAAAGGGGTGATTGATATGTTCGTCATTTTGAACGTGTTGGTAGTTTCATTGGCATATGCATTTGTCAAAACTTATCAAATCACACTCCCTACATATATGAAATTTATATGTCAATTATGCCTGAACAAAGATGTTTAAAAGAGTCACAAGACACCAACATATTTTAAATCAATGATATCTAAAACAAAGAATACCAATGAAAAGAATATTAGTTAAAAAAATTTCTCAACGTATTTCACCTATTTTCCAAAAATGTAGTCATGAAAAAGTTATCAAATGATTCCATAAATAACAAATAACTATGTTTTAAATTCAATAGAGAAAGGTAGCCTTTGCAACAAATATTTGGATTTCCATGTAAACAATAAAAAGAAACTCAATCTGTACTTCATGCTACACATAAACATGAACTCAAATTTATTCATAGATCTAAAAATATAAAACTTTAATTACTTTAGAAGAAAAAGTAGGGGAAAACCTTTGAGCTAGGCAAAGATTTCTCAAATATGACTCTGCTCTGTTTTAAATGTATGTGTCCTTCCCAAATTCATATGTTGGAACCCAATACCTATTGTGATAGTGTTAAGAAGTGGGGCCTTTGAGGAAGTGATTAAGTCACGAGCTCTCCATTCTCTTGAATGAGATTAGTGCTCGTGTAAAAGATGTTGAAACTCCTAGCTCCTTTTGCTTTTACCACACGAAGACTCAGCAAGTAGGACCTCATCAGACACTGACTCTGTTGACATCTTACTCTTAGACTTCCCAGTTTCCAGAACTGCTCTTTCTAAATTACGCAGTCTAATGTGTTTTGTTATAGTAGCAAAAATGGTCCAAGGCAGGCCGAAGTGGGCAGATCACAAGGTCAGGAGATCGAGACCATCCTGGCTAACATGGTGAAACCCCGTCTCTGCTAAAAATACAAAAAGTTAGCCAGGCATGGTTGTGGGCACCTGTAGTCTCAGTTACTCGGGAGGCTGAGGCAGGAGAATGGCGTGAACCCGGGAAGCAGAGCTTGCAGTGAGCCAAGATCCCGCCACTGCACTCCAGCCTGGGCAACAGAGTGAGACTCCATCTCAAAAAAAAAAAAAAAAAAAAAAAGTCCAAGGCAGGCAGCAAAACAGCACAATTCATTAAAGAAAAAACAATGAATCGTGTTTTATCAAAATTAAAATCTCCTAATCATTGAAAACACTGTTAATAAAATTAAACTACAAGCCATACCGTATTGTATGGTATAACTTGTAGATATACACTCTCACCTGAACACACTCAGGATTATTGTTTTATGTATCACACAGACACCCCATAAATTTAATTCATTTGGCAATTAGCATTATTGTTTTTACATAATTTTGGCAATAATCAGTATTCCTTAGAGAGTGTTGGCTTTAAACAGTCTTGGAGTTCTTCTACAAATCAACATACAGCTGGCTATAAATACCTGCTTGATCCCACTTTACAGACTGGTCCAAGAGATAAATGTGGAAGTTACTTTCATGAATTTAAGAGTGAAGCCATTCACAAATTACTTCTGCAATTTCCCTCTGGCCTTGCTGCAAAATACAATAAAGACTCTACTAATATATTTCAGTTTTATTTTTAGCCACTAGCTTGTACAAAATGACTGTTCTATTTTGTTTCACTCACTCAAGTTGAGCTGCTTTTTCCTTACATTGCTCCTCTCCTGGCCAAAGATCTTGGCTCTCCTATTCTTAGAAAGCACACACGCACAGACACTCACTCTCTTCAGGCCCCTCCTTCTTTTGGTTCTTCTAATAATACCAAGTCTTCCGCATCTGTCTGCTCAAAACTCTATCTCTATGTTTATTTAGCGAACTGTAGCTCGTCTCCTGGTTGCAGTTGTGGTGATTTACGTTACGTATCTCAATTTAAATTAATTTCTCTGTTGTATATTTATCATTAAATCTACCAAACCCAGTCTAACTCATGAACGTAAAATGTCATAGTTTATGACACGTAACATGAAAGAAATTATGAATCTACAGTAATTGAGGAGTACTTTGTAATTTTAATACATGAGTTTAATTGAAGATACTTCATTTTAGGTATCATATGTATAAAAAATTGCTTAAATATACTTTGATGTATATGCAGCCTAAACCAGTGTTTTCTAGGTTACTTATTACTATACTACATATATTAAAATATATTTGTAAAGTACTTTGAATATAAACTCAAAGATGCATTCCTAAAATGTGGAGAATAATTATAGAGACAAGTCAAATATTTTGAGTTCATTGTGGAAATATTTGAATGAAACTTTTACCCATTTTTAAGGATTATATGGTATTGAGTAGGTGAATTGGGTGCTAACTTTGACATTAAATGAAAGAGAAAAGATTGAAGTAAATTTAAAAAGGGGAAGTCTTCTTTTGTACAGTGAATATTATACTTATCCATGTTGCTCCTTTCTGGAATTTTCTAGGAATATTGTAACTGAAATAGTGTGATGTTTGATAAAGGATGTTCCTGTCACTTAGCTTCCAGCTCTGCAAATATTTCCTGTCCCTGGCGTATGATTTTCTCTTTTAAATCGTGAATGTGGAATGATCTGCAACCACTCCCAGCAGCAGTGACTTCTGGGGCTGTCATAAAGTGTCATCAAACAGGACGGCTATTGGGATGCGTCAAGAACTAAATAAAGACCAGGGACTGAATAAAGCACCTGGACACAGAAAACTATACATCGTCTCCTTGGCTTCCTTTTTGAAAATTGGCGTATACAGTGTATTTTTAGCAGGGATGGGATGATTTTGCTTAATGCTCGACAGCTGCTCATTAGGCAGATCAGAAAGAGATAAGCAAGATGGCATATTGGTTAAAATTGCAGAGTAGGTGCCAGGAGTACTAGATTTCAAGTCTTGCTTGCTAACCTTGAATGACCTTGAGGACTTATTTTCCCCTTGCTGTTCCCAGCTTTTCTAGGTTTAGAGTTGTGACAAGAACACTTTCCCAACATCTCAATCATGCTACTGAGAATCTGTAAAGTTTTGAGATTCTTGAAGTGACAGATTCCCATTAAAATTGCTGACCATGCAAGATGCCTTTGTGGGTATCTCATTTAGATAAGATCCTCAAGGAAGTATAAAGGCATGCAAGGGATATAAGCATAGAATTGTTGAGAAAATAAAATTTGATTTGCTAAAGTCTATTCTTGTATAGGTTGAAATTATTTTTAGTAAAACAAGCCTCACTGGTTACCTTGTCATTAAGATTCTATCTTACTTCAACCAAACATAAACGAATGAATATTGAATGAATCTAAACATGAGACGTACAATTAAGCACAAACATGTATTTTGGCTAAATCAGGTAAAAATAGCCAGTTGCAAAGTTCAGTAACTACAATTCAGTGCATTTTCATCTAGTCACTTGTTGCTAGTCAGAATGACGATCTCCTTTTAGGTTGAGATTTCTGAATATAATGAGGCTTCTGCTTGATGATATATATTTCACTTATTTAATAACTGAGGTTAGCAAAAAGTGAGTCAGTTTCAATGTCAGTATTTTAAATTCTTTTTAGTCTTTAATCTGGGTGAGATTCTTTTTCAAGCCCTTGGATTGTAAGATGATATGAAATAATGGCATGAGAACTGCTTATTTCAAAGAAATTACTTCATGTTACACAAAGACAGGAGTTCATAAGAGCTGTATTTTTTTTTTAACAGTGATTACTGCAGTAAATATTTCACTTTCGCCTAGGGTTTTTTTTTTGTGTGTGTGTGTGTGTGTGCCTTGTTATACTGATAACATTGGTTTAAGTGTGGAAAAAAAATGTGTAATTTGATTTTAGTTTATTAGCATATAATTTTAAAAATTGCTTTGGCCTCTTTCACATTTTAAAGCCCTAATATTAATATAAATGAGTGATATTAAGAAAATCCTGCAGTGAAAGCATCCTGCAGATATAGCCTTTGTGAAGTCCTCTGTGAAGGACTCTGTTAGCATTGTCACCTAGCCCCAAGGAGGCTGAGCAGCCCACCTTACTGACCGCATGGCCTGCGGAGATGAGGGGAGACAAATGCAGAGTTAGCATTAGCTGTTTTCACAAATAAGTTGCCAATGGTCAGCAGTTGTGATTCCAAGCAGCGCCTGTTGCGAATGTTTGAGATGCTATGGGTTTCTGCCAACACACAGAGTCTGCCTCTGAGTTCCTCAGTGGCTTTCGTGGCCCAGGTATATTTCTGTGGGAAGATAAGGCTCACTGTAGACATTTCCATTAAAATGGGAATGACGGTGACGAATCCACTTCTCTCTAAAGCAGCTATTTTTAGAAAGCCTCCTCAATAAAAACTTAGAGTGTCAAAATGCCCACACGTAACCAGATGCCAACTCTGTAAATTCTTCTCAGGAATAAAGTTCAATTTCCAATATTGTATGAAGACAGAGGAAGAAAGGGGAAAAGAGGTGTATGTGTGATAAGCAATCAATACATAATCAACTAATGATAATGGTGCCTGAGTAGATTGTCATAGCCTGTGAAGAAGGCATAGGTAAAATTCACTTTTTCTTTAACATGAACTCAAGCTGATGTCTAGTACTCAAGTCCAGTGAAAGGAAATGCTTTAAAATTCCTAGCCTGGGGCCAATGGGAGTAGTGGCATATCATGTCATTTACTAAGAACATTTGAGAAAAATAAAACCTGTATTTTTGGCAATCATTTTTTCCCTGGCAGATAAAGTCAATAATCAGTTAATATTTTAGAAAATATTCAAGTTTGCACTAATGTGTTGAGCTTCATCAGATTTTGGTAAACTAATTGTTGCTGCAAAAGTCAGACATTATTATTCTTTTTTTCCACAGAAAAAAAGTCACATAGAATATAAGCCAACATCTTCGTGAAAATCTGGTTATAGCTAACTGCCCAGGATGAAGGGCGCATAGGTTAAAGGAACTGACTCCTCTCTACCAGATCCAGCTAATTTTTTTCCTTTGACACACAACCACTACTCCCTAGGCCACACTTCTCCCGAAAAACTGCTTCCCTCAAAAGCAGAGCAAACTGCTTTTTTTCTGAGATAAGCACTGCAATATGTTTGGACTAAAAAACTTTGCTCATCAGAGCGGATGTGACTGGAGTTAACACCTTACCCAGGCTGAGTCAACTTATTGGTTGGCCAGATGTCTGCTGTGTACTCTGAAGTAAGAATTCCATAGAAGAAACACAGAATCTCAGGGAGATGAGATTAATTCTGCTCCCTTTGGGTGTCGGCTGGATTTAGCAACTCTTAACTAATGAATGGCGGCAACGATGAATGACATCAAGCGGTCATGTTTTAAGCAACCCTACTGTGGGGCTCGTGTGGTGGGTACTGGAACCTCCGGTGAGGAGTGGAGGCCTGCCAATAATCGCAGTAGTAAGGTGGGATCAGATTTCCCATCCCTTGCTGAACTTCAAGGAGATTATAGCATCGGTAGAGAACTCAACTGAAGACTTGTAAAAGACTGCGAGCCACAGCAACCCACACAAGACCCTCCTAGATTCTTGACCTACAGAAATTGTGTGAGGCAATCCATGTTAACGGTTGCAAGATGCTAAGGTAAATTCTGGGATAATTTGCTACACAACAGCAGTTAACTAATGCAATTGATTTCAATAAAAATCATAGCAGGAGCACCATTTTTGCTGCCACATCTACGGGTTTTTTTTTTTTTTTTTTGTATTTTTGTTTTTTGTGTGTGTGTGTGTATTTTTTTTTTTTTTTTTTTTTTGAGACGGTGTCTCGCCCTGTCGCCCAGGCTGGAGTGCAGTGGCGAGATCTCGACTCACTGCAAGCTCTGCTTCCCGGGTTCACTCCATTCTCCTGCCTCAGCCTCCCGAGTAGCTGGGACTACAGGCGCCCGCCACCATGCCCGGCTAACTTTGTTTTTGTATTTTCAGTAGAGACAGGGTTTCACTGTGTTAGCCAGGATGATCTGAATGTCCTGACCTCGTGATCCGCCCACCTGGGTCTCCCAAAGTGCTGGGATTACAGGCGTGAGCCACCGTGCCCAGCCCGGGTTGTTTTTTTCTTCCATTTTTTGAAGGTGTCCCCCTCTTCTCAACTTTTAACAATTAGAGTTTCTTACGACTCTGTCCTTGGTCCTCTTCTCTTACTCTGGTCTTTACTGATCTTATTTGCCTATATAACCTCAAATACCAACTAAGGACTTACAGATTCTCATCAGGGTTTCTCCATTTCATCACTATCAACATTCCGGGAGGGTTAATTCTTTGTTTTGAGTAGCTATGATATGCCTCATAGGGTACTTAGTAGTATCCCTGCTCTCTACATTCTAGATGCCAGAAACATCCTCCTCTCTCCCAGCTCTGAAAACCAAAAACATTTCCATGCGTTGTCAAGTATTGCTGGGGAGAGGGGCCACAGCTGCCAGCTGAGAATAACTCTTCTAGACCTTCCCTCAGAGATTCAGATCCATAAATCCAGCCACCAATTTAAGATTTAATGAAGGTCGCCTCTGACTTAGTATAATGTTGTAGGCATCTCAAAATCTACGTGCCAAAATGTGAATTCGTAATCTCTATCTCTTCTGCCCAACTCCTGCTGCAACACAGTTACCTTGAGTGTCCTCCCTTAGATGTCTACACCATCTGCCAGTTGCTCCAAGCCTAAAGCCAACATCTTCACCACTGCCAGCAAAACCTTACACATTCCACCACTCACTGTCTTTCCAACTTCATCACACACATCAACTCTGCCCTTTAGTCATGCCTTTGAATTATCTGGTTTTTTTTTTTTTTTTTTTTTTTGGTTTTAGTTGTTATTTTCAGAGTATTTTTGTACCAGTCTCTTCCCCATGTCACCGGCTTTGCACGTGCCTCTGTTTCTGCCTGGAACATACTCCTTTCCTCTTTACCTTGCCAATTCTAAACCTTCTCTCATGTCTTAGCTGAAATGAGATATCACCTCTTCAGGGAAGCCCTCTCTGATCACCCCAGACTAAGGTTAGTTCCCCAATTACAATCTCAGGCAGGACCTGCCTCTCCTTGTCAACAATTACAACTATTTTGTTTTTGTAACTCTAATTTTAGTATTCTTTCCATCACCAATACTTTTAGCTTCATTGATAAAGGTAACACGTCCACATTCCTTTGCTTCTAGGTAGCTTATACCTAGGTCAGTGCCTGTTAGACACTCAGAAAATATTTGTTAATTAAAAAAAAAAAGCTAAATGAATACACCAAGAGGTACAAGAATTTTGCTATCCACGCTACTGAAGTCTGGAGGTGACCCTACAGGGATTTGTGAGATCCTAAGTATCTCTTTTAACAATTATTTTGTACAGACATCTTTCATTTTATAATTTGGGAAATAAATGCTAACTTTAGGTGTGAGTTTCGCTATTCTTGTAAATGACAAAGAACATGATTAAACAATAAATCATAAAACTGTTATTGGAGTTAATGAACCAACTAGTAAAACTATATTTAACATGAATAGTAATATGTAAATGGAGTGAACTTTTCTTCTGATAACTGTCAAAATACTTCAGTTTTACAAGTGTAAATGGAAAGGCTTTTTTTCCCCCAGTAATTATAATAAAAAGCCACAGGTATATTTCAGTACATTAAAAAATTTATATGTGACTAAAAGTGACACCATAATTAAAATTTAAGAAAAGTGACAGGTATATATGATAAAGTCTTATAATCATCATGTTTTAAAATCCTTACAAACTAATCAGAAGAAGACAAATTATTTATTAGAAATAAGGACAAAGAAGAAGAGAGTAAATGAAAAACAGAGATCAATAATAAATTATTTCTGAACGAAAAAAATACTTGAATACTACATCCTGATAGCAAGACATTGGGAAAAACTTATAGATCAAATGATAGAGGACTGTTTAAATAACTGTATCTCTATAAATAAGTTTCTATTTAGAAAATGAAGTTGAGAATATAAATTTATATTTGTTGCCACAGAGTCATGAATATGTTTATAAACATAAGCCCCCACGTGTAATTTTTTCACATAGTTAAATGCAAAAGAGAATGATACCATTTTCATAAAATGTGTGTGTTGTATATATGTACATAGAAACAGGTTAGAAACAACATGTTAGTGTGGGGATCGTGTTTGGGGGATGGACTTCTATTATTATTTAATTCTTCTTGTTTAGGCTTAGTATTGGTCTAAATTGTTTACAAAGAATTTCTTTTAACATCAGAAAAAGCCAGGTTTATTACAGAAAAATAAGCCCAAAATCAACTTTTAATTATTTTAGACATATTTTTCAAGAAAACAAAACATATTTTAAGAATTTTATCCTCAAGATTCTGTCTGCTGGAAATGAAATTTGAAAAATAATAAACCTTGCTACCGTATACTTTCCTAAACCTTTCTTCCAAAAGCTCATAAAAACTCTGATACTAGCTTTTAATAATAAAAGTTTGCATTCTTTCTGCAACTATCGATGTTGAATTTAGTATTTTAAACCTTCCTAAAACTCATCCATCACATTAGTAAGGAAAATTGGAATATGCCTTACTATCCCAAATGAAAATTAAAGCCATCTGCTAATTCCGTAACATACCTCACCTAAATGTTTTGCAAAATGTTGCTGTAACTTGAGTAAACACAAAAAAGCAGCAAACACAGCCTCAGACCTTCTTTAATCTTTGGCTGAGGACCATGTGGTGGGGACCATGTCATCAACAGAGGCACAGGGGGCTTCTTCAAAACATAAATTGTCTTGTTTGTCTGTGAATTTCGCTTCAGTTTCATAATGGTTAGCAAATGAGCTGGGCTGCTGCAGCGGGGCAGAGGAAGACTGCCGAAGCACCGTTTTATCTTTCTTTTGCCACAGATTTTATGCTGTGAACCCTAAGGGCCGAATTTAGAAATGTAGATAAACCAGATGTGCTCATAAAATTGAATGCATACCTGTGCTGGCTACCAAAATAAAAACAAAAACAAAAACTGCAAAGTTTCCCATTGCACAATATTCTGATTTCCTAGCGTTGCCTGCTGTAACGGTCCCGGCAGGCAAAGTTGCTTCCCTGTCTTCTGAGCAGGCTGGCAGTATCAGCTTTGAGAATGTTCATGATGAGGCCTTTGCAAATAAGCACAAGTCGCATTATGTCAACTTCAAATGAAATCATAACACAAAAACAAAACATTCATACATTGATAGAAATTATAGAGCATCAAATGAGATACAAGAATTTTATCTCCTTATTTGTATATTCTTGTCTCCCTGTCTATAAACATATGTTTGCACATGCTGTGTATTGATAGATTAACATATAAAATTACAACATTGCATTTGCAACACTGTAGTTAAGGTTGTCTTCACATTTATATTTCTGAGGTTTTATATCTGAACCGTAAACACTCTCTCTGGGCTGAAACTTGGCATATAGAGCAAAACTAGAAATGTGCTCATTTTTCTCCTGTACAAGAAGAAATTTCACAGAAATGCTTGTATTTTTAAAATCATATTTTTCGTTGACAAAATATTATTTGTAAAGTTGACCTATAGTGATTTGAAGCCGAAAAATGATTAGCGTGTTTTATATCATTGCCTTCATATTTTACTACATTAGGAAAATGCAATATGTGGTTTTTAATATTATGATAGTTTTAAAATTTTTTTATGATTTTTTGACCTAGAAAAGTCCACTAATGACATCTCGAATTAAATTTTTTTTTTTTAAAACAGCAACAACATAAGAAAACTACTTAATTTAGGTAAAATAATTAAACATGGCATTTAACATAACTGACTCAAAGTTATTTTAAGCATTTTAATGATTTTAAGCAAATAAATATGAACACTGCTAAAGTAAATATTCCCAATCAAAAATTTTAAAATATTGTTTTGGAGGAAATGGGTTGATCAGTTTTATCGAGGAGGTTGACGCTGTTTTTCAATAAAAAGGGTTCAACATTCTGCTTTGAAATAAATTTTTCAAAAGATTTGCAATCTTGAAACAAAAATTCAAAAGTCAAATGTGTTTATTGGCTGTATGATTTTCTGTACATTATTGAAGTTCTTAGTATTCTCTTAATGGTTCTGAACAATGATTACTTTAACCAGGTTGTTTGTTTGTTTGCATAGACCCTACTTTCATTTGTTAGAAAAACATGTTTTGAAAATTGAATCTCCCTGTGGGAACAATGGGTAAAATACAAGACATATGCTTTTCAAATCACATAGTTTGTTTAATACCTAAAAAATATCTTTAACTCATTTTTCAGTCCTTTCCAACCATTCTCAAAAGACCCTTTCTTTATTGCTTTTTAAATGTTGGAAGTGAGAAAAATATGTATTTTGTGGAATGTGGGAGGCACGTTTATTCACAATTAACTGTGAAGCATATGGAATGAATTTCTGTTATAATACCAAACTTCAAAAGTTCAGGTTAAGTAATGTATGACTGAGATCCTTTGGAGGTTTGCACGGTGAATTGAAAAAATCAGTCATGATGTTTAGTGATCCTAATATGTTCATTTTCGATGATGTAAATATACATGCAGAATCTCAGAGCATGGAGGATAAAATAAACGATACATTTTCCAAAGTTGGAAACACTAACTTTTGACTTAGTGCCTTAGCATTGCTAAGTTATCCACTCATCCCCAAAAGTTCTGTTCTCTTTTTTCCCAGCTTGTGCGATTGCAGACTCCTGGGTATTATGAAGTCACATGGGCTCTACTGCCCTGGAGCCTACAGTGTATATGATGTAGTTGGCTCCACATCCTTCAGCCTTCACCATGCTAAACATTTGGACTTGCTTACACTTCACTGCCCAGGAGCAAATGCTTCATGTCATAATCCCCTGTGGATTGAATCCGAATGAGTTTCTCACCATTCAAGAGGAAAAGCTAGTGATGGTTTGAGCCAGAGAGAATCAATAATAGTAACACAGGGTAGAAACTTGCTTTTATTCAAAATTACAGACCTAGACCTTATTTCCTGATCTATAAAATATGCATTTAACAATCCTACTGCTTTTCTTAGGACATAAACATTTTCTTTTTCTTGCCTCAAGATAGTACTTTCAAGATGCAGATGACTCCAAAATTGTCATATCCATATCCTGAAGTTATCTGCAGGAAAAGTAGATAGTTTCTGGAATGTTCATGCCTCTACTTATAGTAAATAGGTATTTTGGGGAAGCAGGGATTTCTTCAACAAATGTGATAAGCTCTGAATTATAGAAAATGAATCTTATTCATTTTTTCTAACTGTCCTTCTATACCTTATGCAATAAACAAATTTCTGAAAGCTAATGATTGGATCCATTTCTTAGGAAATAGTAATTTATGACAGATGTCCTTTCATGGAGGTAAGAGAGAGACAAATAAAGCACCATGCTAGTTGAGAACAGCACTTAGAACATGTACAATGCTTAACATGGTCCTTAGTATAGGGACGCAGTGATGGTAGCTAAATATATCAATATAGAAATGAATAAATAAGGGCACAATTAGGTGCTGTGTTTTTGGAGATAGGTGACCTCTACCTATTAATCTCCTGCAAATGTTTTTAAGGTACAATAATTATGGGAAACTGGAAAATTCAACATGTGGATGTTATTCTGTTTACCTCACTGCTGGCTTTTGTGTGCATACTTGTCACATGCTAGCTAGGTTAGCATGTTGGTTAATTTTATGAGTCAACTTGCTTGCTTTAAGAGATGCTCCAATAGCTGGTAAAACATTGTTTCTGGGTGTGACTGTGAGGCTGTTTCCAGAAGAGATTAGCATTCAAATCAGTAGACTGACTAAAAGAGATCACCCTCATCCATGTGGGTGGGCCTCATTCAATCTAGTTAGAGTCCGGTAGGATAAAAAGGTGGAAGAAGAGTGAATTTGCTCTTTCCCTCCTTAAGCTGAGATATCTGTCTCCTGCCCGCAGACATCAGAGCTCCTGTTTTCAGGTCTTTGGACCCCAGAATTCACATCAACATTCCTTCTGGTTCTCAGGCCTTTCAACTTTGACTGAATTACATCACCAGCTTCCCTGGTTCTCCTGCTTGCAGATGGCAGATTCTTGGCTTCATAATCTTGTGAGTCAATTCCCATAATAAATCTCCTCTTTCTCATATATATATATATTTATATATCCTCTTGGTTCTGCTGATTTCAAAAACCCTAACAGTTCCTGTATGGACTAACAGTATGGGGGAAACTGTACCCATGTAATTGTTTTGTATTAATCCCAGCCTAGTGTTGGATATAGTTAAACCTTAAATCCATTAGATCTATGGTGGTAAATACTTTATTCATTGGCGAAGATAATTGGAGAACTGCTATGTGTGGAGATTTTATAGAATCATTACTGTGAAATAGTTGTGTTGTACTGGATGCATGCAATGTAACATTCTTTCTACCATGGAGGAAAATATTGGCAAATATTACATTATTTTTTGAAGTCTTCAGGCCATTATCCCCATCTTGTAGTTGGGGACACTTAGGTTAGATGGTGGGTGACACATGACACAGCTGTTGGCTCATATCTTAATATCTTGGAAAATCTATCACCTGACTTCTGTGTTGTTTATTTTTCATCACCCCATTCATCATCATTGCTGAATTTGAAATGACCTCCTCACTGTCCACTGTTATTTCCTGCTCTCTCTAATTCCCAGTTATCTCACCTATTGACCACAGACCCCGATTCTCAATGTATTGTTTATACTTTATATATTAATATATTACATACATTTTGTCATGTTATATATTTATATATATCACATATATTTTATATGCATATACCACTTACTATATTATGTATAACACTTATTGTTCATACTTATAGTGTCACAACATAATCAGTGTTCTTCAGTGACAAAGATATAACACACACGGTTAGCCTGGATCTTAACAGGCAGCCACAGTCTCCTATTCCAGTCTTATCCCCCTGAGTCTTTTATTGCAAGCAAGTGAATTGACTTGCGACCTCTAACATCTTGAATTGCCCATTGGAATTTTCTAGGATTAAAGAAAGAGCCTATATGTTTTCCTAGCCCATCTGTACTCACACCTAACAGTGGCTCACAGTGGCTACTAATAAGTGGCTCTTTATTTGCCCACTGGGGAGCATTGTCTTAATGACAATCTCCAACAAAAGAAAAGAAAGGTAGGAGAGGCAAGGAAATATAATATTGTTCACAATTTGTCCATAGTTGCTTGTCTTAATTGAATACCAATGCAACTCAATCTAGGGACTTTGAAAGATTCCAGTTTAGGTTCAAGCCCTGATCAAATTTACAATTCAAAGGAAACTCCAGTAGATACTAAGGAAGGGAAGCAAACCATGCAGTGAAATGCTCCAACAAGATCTTTTCTGAGGATTCCTCCTCTCCCAGATCGGGGAAAGAGGAGCTCTACTGGAGATACACCCCAGAACCTAGTAGAGGAAAGAAGAACACGCTTATAAAGAAACTTTAGATGCCTTATAATAAATCTGGATGTGCTTAAAAATCCCTGAGGAGTTTAAAAAAGTCTGGATGTGTTTTCCCAAATAACTATTTAAAGCATATTAGAGTTTTTAATTGCACTGGGGACTTTTCAAAGCATATCAGGACAAAACAGTAGAGTATAGGCCCCAATATGCTAATTAATAGATAGCTAGACCCCTGAAATAAACCTGCAACACTCCATTAATCAGGCAGTAATTGAATTGGCACAGTGCTTTTGTGCAAACTACATGATAATTGAAAACCCAAACCTGGCAGCAGCGAGGGTAAGGTTCTCCACCACGGCATATAACAGGGCATCCTGTTTGCACTTGTCAGTGGGCAGTTGGCCCTACTGTCAGGAGGCTCTGAGTAGGGAGAAAGTCAGTTCCTGAGTCCAGTGTCACCTTGATCTCTTGCCGAGATGGTCTTTTAGGTGTGTGATATCCAGTGGTCACAAGCATAACCCCATGGAAATACAAGTAATGGCCGATATGCTTTTCTCTGTTACCTAAAGACATCTGCCAATTAATGTGATTATAAAATAATAGTGAGGAACAGATGTTTCATTTGCTAATTTTATATCTGACTGTTTGAAAGCTAAATACCTGGGGATTTAACTGGCAAATACTACTTTGCTCATGAAAAAGGAAACAATGCGCGCATTTTTCCCACACAGCTGATGTGGTATAATTCTGGATAGTGGTTGCCTATAGTAAGAGCTCAGTAACAGGGAGACTGATTGCTTCTAAATGAAGAGAAAAACAGTCACACTTTAAGCCTTTTCTTGTTTTCTTCTTTCTCTCTCTCTCTCTTTTTTTTTTTTTTTTGCTATAAACAAAACAGTAAGCATATTGCTATGCCAAAAAAGGCTGTTGAAATAAAAGAGTTTTGCCTGTCATATTGTCATGATGGGGTGGGGAAATTGATGTGAATACACTGAGAATGGACATAAGTTATCCAACTAGAACTTTTAAACAAATCATCTTGAAAAACTTGAAGACCTTTTCTGCATTTGCCAGCCCTTAACTAGAACAGATGAAGACCAGGAAATGTGGAATCATAATGAAAAAGTTAGCTGTCCTGGCTGTGGGGATCTAGAGAGAAATATTTTAAGAAATTTAGAAATTCAGGAAAAAAATCCAAGAATTATTTTAACTAAATATTTTAATTCTAAGTGCTCTTTTTCTTCTTCAAAGAAGTTGATTACAGTGTCAAATATACCTAAGATGAGTGTGTCTTAGTCCAAGATCTTACTGGAATCAGACTCTTCTTAGCATTGTGTGTACACTGCAGCACTTGGCTCTGTCTGTTGCAAGAGGTCAACTTTGGATGGAAGTTTCTTTTCCTGCTGCTAAATATACAATTAATACTGGTTGTCCAGAAAAAAACCTGTGATTTGGGTACTAGATGTGCTACCCACTGTTTCTGTGATCTTAGGCAAGTCACTAACCCACTTTGCCTTACTTAGCTTACCAGTTCATAGAGGAATTTGGATCCCATTAGAGCTTCAGAAATTGTCAAAATTCATGCCCTTCGTGCAAAAGTAAAACCTTTGAATTCTCTTTAAAATTTTTTAAACTTGCAAGCTATATGTAGTGTGATATAAGAAAACTTATATGGTTTAAAATCATATAGTCATATGATTTTATAATTCACTCATATATAAGTAGTTATATAGTTAAAATTTGTAGAGTTATAAATCAAAATTATATAGTTAATGGCTTCATTTTCAAATTTCAACCCCTCTTAAGCTTCAGAGAATTTGCAAGACTTACACAAGGGTCACATAGGCAATGAATGTTCATGTGTGTGAATCTGAGCATGTGGTAGACAGCACTTTGAAATAGGATTATCCGTCTGTCAGACTACCTGGTTGTCCTTACCAGTCCTGGAAATTGGACTTTGTTAATGTATTTAAACGTTATCAGTGAATGTACTTAAACTTTGTCTAACTTTCCATGTCATGTGAATTGAACATAAGCCTATGTCCATTGATGGCTGTCAATGCAAAAGATGGTGCCTATGCTGTCAATTGCGAGTCTCTCTTCTGTAAAACAAATGAACAAACAAACAATAAATCCCCCAAAAAACAAAACTAAAACTAAAATCCTGATTGCTTTTCCAATTTGGGGTTTCTTTAGACTTCAAAGTGTTTGGTGTTACTTTTTTTTTAATCTCAAGATGTTCCATTATGAATTGCCACTGTCCTGTGCTAGTGCCTTTGGTGGTTGTGTTTTGTTTTTCACCTCTGGATGCAGGATCTATTCCATGGCATCTACCCCAGGACCCTTTCCTTTCTCTTGGATATTGAGGTTATTCCCAGTCTACCTACAGAAACTTAACTTTCATTCTCCAACCCTAGTGATTTCAGGCACTGCCAGGGCTGGATTCCTCCCAGCCTTAGCTTGACTTATATCTCAATACATCCGAAATATATAGGCTTGGAATCATTTTCAAAACACTGCTTCTTTCTAACTTTACTCCTCTTATTTTACCTTACATGTCTACATTCAAGACTTCAGCTTTACCTCCAAAACATAGCTCATGTTTTCCCTCTTCTCACCATCTGTCTGGGCCCCGCAGCTGCCATTTCTCACCCCCTTCTGCAGTAGCCCCAATAGTCTCTGCCTCCACTCTTGCAATCATGAAATCAAGGTCCAAACATAGCAACCAGATGGCTTTTTTTGAAAATGTAATCATACGTCACACCTTCCACCCATTTAAAAGTCTACCAGTTGCTTCCTGTTGTATTTAGAATAAAATTCAAACTTTTGACTATGACCCAAAAACCAATAACTTAAAAGTCTGTCCCTATTTATCAATCTTATTTCCTCTGCCCTGTTTTCCTTCTCACCACCTTCTCCACCTCCTCACTAAATTGGCCTTGCATTTTCTCTTCCTCAGAGACCACAAGTTGGTCTTGGCCTGCAGACCTTGTATTTACTACTTGCTTTGCCTGGCACCCTCTTCCCTGGGTTTTGTGCATGGCCGATTCCTTCTCTCATTCAGGCTTCAGCTCAAGGATAATTTCCTTAGACAGCCCTTCCTTGTTTCTGTAAGTCCCCCTATCCCCACCAAATCACTCTCCACCCCCATTCATTATATATATATATGACTTAAAATAATCTCAACTTATCTGGTTCATCTGTTTACTTTTTATTGCTGCCTCCCACTATAAGAACATATCCTCTGTGATGACAGAGACTTTGGCAGTCCTTTTCTCTGCCACACTTCCAATGTCTAGGACAATGCTCAATAAATACTTCCGAAATGCATTAAAAAATGTTTCCACTAAGAGCATATGCTTGCAGTCTGTGCAACTGCTGAGGAGATACCAGCCCTGTGGTAGATACAAACTAAGAACCTGGGACTTTTCCAAGTGTTTTCAGAAACAGAGAAATCAATAATCACTAAAAAATTCCATTTAACTTTCTTAAAAAAAAAAAAAAAAACCCGAACTCGATTTTTAGCGTAAGTTAATGTTAATCAAACTTTACTCCATGGAAACAGATACGAAGGGAAATACATTTATTTCAAAGCAAGAATAATAAAAAATAAAGGATCCTCTGGTTCAGGGGCTGCCAAATTTTTCCATGAAAAACCAG